AATAAACGTAGTAAAATGCTAATAATATTTGTTAAAATATTAAATTTCATGTTTCCTAATTATCAACATTGTTATATACTTACATTTGTTATATACTTATCGTCATGATTTTTTAATATACATCGATTTTTTAAAACATTGCTTTAATTACTTTTTTCTCGATCGAACAATCTTGAATTTCAGGGACTTTTTTTAATATACATTTTAGTATTATTGATATATAAAGAGTATAGAGAAATATTATATATTTAATTTTTTTGTACACATTTCCAACGACATAATCATTAAAACTTGAAATTATACAAACCGTATAAATCAAAGATAACCTTTATATTTAGTCACAGATTTTTAATTTTTACTCTTTCCTATAAAGAACGATGTTTTCCGCTTGAACTTAACTCCAAAAAACGTGTGTATCTCTTTTAGATTCGTGGATATACGTGTTTTAAAAAAACACTGTTTTAAATATTCTAAAATTTCGTCTTCTTTAGACGACCATAGCGTATGAACCGCTTGTGCTAGCGTAACCATTGAAAACTGAGGGTAAAGAGCAATCTTTCCCGCTTGCAACGCGCACTGGAAGTCCCCTATATCTCCGGTATCTTCGGAGATACAGCTGTTTTAAGAAGGCACTATTTTTAATATTCTACAATTTCGTCTTCTTTAGACGACCATAGTGTATGAACCGTTTGTGCTAGCGTAACCAGTCAAAATTGAGTGTAAAGAGAAATCTTTCCCGCTTGCAACCCGCACCGGAAGTCCCCTATATCTCCGGTATCTTCGGAGATACAGCCGTTTTAAGAAGGCACTGTTTTAAATATTCTACAATTTCGTCTTCTTTAGACGACCATAGCGTATGAACCGCTTGTGCTAGCGTAACCAGTCGAAACTGAGTGTAAAGAGCAATCTTACCCCGCTTGCAACGCGCTCCGAAAGTCCCCTATATCTCCAGTATATTCGGTGATACAGCCGTTTAAGAAGGCACTGTTTTAAATATTCTAAAATTTCGTCTTCTTTAGACGACCATAGCGTATGAATCGCTTGTGCTAGCGTAACCATTGAAAACTGAAGGTAAAGAGCAACCTTTCCCGCTTGCATTACGCACCAGAAGTCCCCTGTATCTCCGGTATCTTCGGAGATACAGCCATTTTATATGTATATATTATGAAGTTTAAATTGTTTTCTCTCCTTTAAACTTTTTTTCAACTAACTTAAAAAATTTCTAATTAATTTTTATACCGCACAATTTTGTATATTTATGTTTTAATATTGTATTCACAGCGATAATATCTTTACTGCGAGAGCACAGGGAAACACGTCCGTTTCGTTTCGCGTTCGGAACCTTACTACGGACGTATACAATAATAAACGGTGTATTATTAATTCTTGTGACCTTATTCTCGTACCTTATAATAAAAGTAGTAAAATGCTAATAATATTTGTTAAATTATTAATTTTCATGTTTCTTCATTATCAACATTTGTTATATTCCTATCGACATGATTTTTTTGGTATACATCGATTTTTTAAAACATATCGCTTTAATTACTTTTTTCTCGATCGAACAATCTTGACTTTTAGGGACTTTTTTTAATTTTCATTTTATTATTATTGATTATTTATAAAGAGTAATATAGAGAAATATTATTTGTTTCATTTTTTTGTACACTTTCCCAACGTCCTATTATCATTAAAAGTTGAAATTATATAAATCGTATAAAACTAAGTTAACATTTGCTTTTAGTTAATTGCGGATTTTTAATTTTTATTCTTCGTTATAAAAAACGATGTTTCCTGCTTATAATTAACTCCGAAAAACGTGTGTATCTCTTTTAGCTTCGTAGATATACTTGTTTTAATAAAACACTATTTCAAAGATTCTAAAATTTCGTCTACTTTATACGACCATAACCTATGAACCGCTTGTGCTACGCTAACCAGCCAAAAGTGCATATAAAATGCAATGTTTTCCGCTTGCATATCGAATCATCCGAAGAATATCGGAAGTCATATGTATCTCCAATTCGATGTAAAGTACGATATCTTCCGCTAAGAGTAAAAAAATTTACGAAAACAAGAAATAATAAAAAAAAACTTAATGAATAATATAATAACAATTGAAATAAATGTACAATGAATATGTAAACATAATGAATATTATTGGAATAATATTACGAATATTATATCGCACGAAAATAGAGACACAAGAAATAATAATACATCACTTATTATTGTATACATTCGGTTACTTAACATGGAAGAAACCGAACGCGTTTCCCTCTGCTTACGTAATAAAGATATTATCGCCGTAAATACAATATTATAGCACGAAAATATAACAATGTTATAAATTCCTGCGGTATAAGAATTATTCTGAAATTTACTTCCCTGAAAGATAATTTAAAACAGAGAAAATATTTAATATTGAGAATACTATATTATTAAAGCTATTGTATCTCCAAAGATAGTAGGCATAAATACGATTTCTTGGAGTCATTATAAGCGGGGAACATTGCTCCTTACACGCAATTTTGGCTGGTTACTGTAGCACGAACGGTTCATACCCTATGTTCGTATAAATAAGACGAAATTTTAGAATTTTTAAAACAGTGCTTTATTTAAACGGTTGTATCTCCGAAGATATATCTCTGGAGATATATACGACTTCCAGTGCTCACTGCAAACGGGAAACATTGCTCTTTACACTCAGCTTTCATTGGTTACGCTAGCACAAACGATTCATACGCTATGGTCGTATAAAGAGAACGAAATTTTAAAATCTTTAAAACAGTGCCTTATTAAAACAGCTGCTTTCTGAAGATACTGGAGATATATAGAACTTTCGATGCTCGTGTAAGCGGAAGACATTGCTCTTTTCACTCAATTTTGGCTGGTTATTCTACGGTTTATATATATATATATATATATATATATATATATATATTTTTTTAGTTATTTAATTATTTATATATTTATTCATCCATTTAACTAGACTTTTATTTATTTATAAACTTTTTTATTTTATTTACTTGTGTGTACATTAAATTATTTATATATTTAATTTTTTGGTTATTCATTTATTTACATATCTATTCATTTTTTTATTCATATATTTATCTATGAGTTATTTTTAAACTTTCTGTTTTGTTCATTTGTGTATAAATTAATTCACTTATTTATTTGCTTTTTCTTTTACTTATTATTATATTTATACTTAATTATATGTCTATTCATATATTTATTTAATCATTTATTTTATTATTTTATTCGTTTATATTTTTATTTTAGAATTTTTTTTTTAAGATATGTATTGTTTATTGGATTCACTCTGATATTTATAATTCGAAATGAAAATACGTTCTATGATTTATCTATTTCGATACATCTATTCTTGGATTTATCTTATACTTTATGTGATCAATGAAGGTAGAAATGGAACGAGAATTGGGCATCAGCGCTATTTTTCTTGTACTAAAATAAGATTGTTCAAAAATAGGATAAAATAAATTCAGAATTGGAAGTTAGCGCTATCTTTTAAATGTTTTTTAAGGAAGATGTTTTCAGCATTTTAGATGGCGCTGATAGTCGAATCTATTTTGCTTTTAACGAGAAATATCTGAAAAATGACGTTAGTGATCAATTGTTCTACTATCTCTATTCTTTTTTTTATTATTTGTTTTCCTTGTTTGTTTTCTCTATCCGCTTGATCTAAAACATACTAAAAATGGCAATTCCTCGATTACTTTATCTCTATTTTTTTTCATTATTTGTTTTCCTTATACTTAACGCGTGATTATGTATAATATACATATATCTCATATATTTTTATGTTTTTGAAATTTTCGTTAAATTATATTTAAATTAAAATATATATATTTGAGCTTTATTTCAAGTTAAAATAACATTTTATCGGATTGATTTTCTATCGACGTGATAATGAGTCATAAAGTTATAAAAATACATTTCTCACTGATGACCTAAATCGTAATTGCATTTTCGTGTTATGATTTTTTATCAGCAAAACATCGTAATATTTATCATCGATGCGAGATTGCGAATCACGATGCCATTTAGTAAAGCAAATTTTAGCGCAATTAACGTAACCTTTTGTTAGTAATATTTTTTATTATATACGGTTATTTTTATTCTGATTATTTGAAGTTATAACTCGATAAATGGCGCGCAATTAGTTTTAATCATTCTTTTTAATATATATATATATATATATATATCATAACGTGTAATTATGTGGACTATTAAATTTATTAAAAGACCTGAGAAATAAAAAAAAAATTTTTTTTTTCTTTAAATTTTCAAACTAACTTTTCTTTGTTTATTAATTGTTATTATTAATTCTCAAATTAACTTTTTTTGTTTATAAAATTTATCTAGATAAAATATAAAGTATTTACTACCAAATTTTCTTTCTCTTTAAAATTTTTCTATTGTTTAAAAAAAAAGTTATTGAATTATGCCAATGTAATTACGCGATATTATTATAAATATTTATCATTATTACTATTGTTATTTAAACACAAAAGAGAGATTTAATATATCAAATTAGATTTTTAATATATCAAAAAGAATGCAACAATTATTATGAATTATTAATCATGAATTAACGTATGAATGCAAAATAAAAGTATTGTGTAATTATTTTCCAAAATTTTCATCAAAAATCTTTTCTCCTCTATTCTTCGATACTTTAGATTGTTTAAATCCTTAAAAATTAAATTTATTAAAAATAGAATAAATACGTATTTAGACACCATATGAGATGACAATTCCATCAACTGATATTATAACAAACGACAATATAAAAGAACATGAAATAAATGATTCCATCGATCAAACGATAATTACAATGCATTGAAACACAAGATATTGTCTTAATATTGAATAACATCGCTATAATAACGCCTCAACTATTGTAATTTAAATAGAATCCTGAAATACTGCTCTCGTTGTTTAAAGAAAACGATTCGAGAAAATTTTACTTTATGAAAAAGCTAATGTTATTACTCGTGACGATTCACGTATTCATAAAACCTGTTCATTCCGTGAATGGTGTAATATGGAACAAGAAACTTGAGAATTTTGTACCCATTTTCAGTGTTCCAACTTTTGCAAAGATCGATTATGAGATAAAAAACCAAAGTCGAAAAGAAGAAATAACTACTTTTCAAGGAAGAAGGTTTAGATTTGCTTGCTATGAGGTGAAAACGATGTTTCTTTTTTTTTTTTTTTAAATTATAATATTATATATAAATTTTTTAATAAAATAATATTTATACAAAGTTTTATATATAATTTTATTATTAATTTTATTGTAATATTTATATAAGCTTTTTTTTTATTTTTCTTTCCTATATGATTTTATAAAAAGGTTATTTTTGTACATATTTACATTGAATGTTTTTCTTTTAAATTTTTTATATGCAAATTTCCATTGCAAGCTTTTATTTATTTTTTTCTTTTTTAATGAATTTTTAATAGAGTATTATTTTTCTTTTTTTGTTTCTTTTGATAAATTTCTATTACAAAGATTTTATCTATTTCTTTTATCTTTTTTTTATATGATCAAGGTTGGAAAAGTAGATATGAAAAATATTCCATATAAAGGTGAGCGAAGAAACTTTGATAATAATAATTTCCATTTAAAAAGAAAATTCGAATTTTTTTTTAAATGGAAATTTCTAACTACAAACTTGACAAATCTTATTTTTCATAGAATATTGTAAAAATATTTTCTTGTATCGAAAACTTACATTTTAATTATAATTATTACTATTGTATGATATTCCTTTAGGAATTGAACATGGTCATCACCGAAGCTAATGGAACACGAATCACTGGCGGAATAATAGGCGAGATCTGGAATATTTTATCTGAATATTTAAATTTCACGTAAAAGTTTTGTTAAAATGTTGGATATTAAAAGAGAAAAAGAAATAGAGAAATATAGATTTTAAATAAAAATTAAACATTTCAGATTGATACCGGTTGTTATAGATGACCGGAGTGTAGGAATTACAAATTCTCGAGGTAAATATGAACGCGGTTTATTAAAAATTATGCAAGAGAACAAAACGGACGTGATATCGAAGATGGGAGCGTACAATGTACGACGCAAAATTTCTCAATTTACGATACCTTTATGGAAAACGAGGTGAAAAAAATAATAAACGCTTAATTTATTGAAAATATATAGAATATATAGAAAAAGAAAATTGAAATATTTTTATAGAATGTGATATAAGATTATGGAAAAAGATATAACATAAATTTAAATAATTATATAGCAGAGTATATAGCAACGGAAATATAATATAGCGAATAAAATAAGAAGTATAAAAAAATATATATAAAAACAATTTATCTTTCTTCTTTCGATTTATGATCTTTGTGGAAAACTTTTATATATATATATACTATATACTTTTATATATATATATATATATATATATATATACTATCTATTTACATTATGTATAAATCGTATCGTACAAGTTAAATATTAAGAAACATTAATAACTATCGTTAAAAAAAAAAGAGAAAAAAGAAAATATAAGGATAAAAATCTCTTTTAATTCTTTTAAGATAAAAGAATATAACGATTATGTTATACATTTTCTATAATATAAATTTTTTAAAAGATAAATTATTTTACATAAAAAAATAAATTATATTATATAATAATCAGATAAATATTAATTTCCATATAGATATCGATTATACATTCAACAAGAAGTGATACATTTACCTACCTGGATGCTGAAATTATTCTCTCGAAAAGTCTGGTATGCGATTCTGATTACGTATCTTTTGTTAAGTACGTGCAGCTATCTTTCTCAAGCGATAAACTCGATAATTATGCGTGAAAACTTAAAGACAGACTTAAGGGATCATCTATTTTACAATTTTGGCATGATTTGCGGACAAAGTAAGAAGATACGTATTAGTATAGAGATAAAATAATAAAATCAAACATTAAAAAAATTGAAATTTTATATGTAACTTTATTTTTAAAATTTCATTATTTTTGAAAATTAAAAATTATTTTAATTTTTTTAATTCTTTTTAATTTTTAAAATATTGAAAATTAAATTTTTTTATATAATAGTAATTTAATAGTTAATTTATAGTAATTGTGTTTAATAATTACCTATACGTGTGTAAAAATCCATATCCATATTTAATGAAAAACGATTGTTTATAAAAAAATTAAGTTTCGACATATTTTCTTTAATACGAAAATTATTTTTATTTTTATTTATTATATTTTTTTCGTTTATTATTATATATAGGATTTAATTTAATTTTAAACGTTTAAAAATTATTATCGATTTTAAAAGATTTTAATTTTTACAGGCTATTTTCCAAAGAATTCGAACAAATCTTCAAGAATAGTGGAATTGTGGTTGGGTCTATTTTCTTGTTTAATCAGGACTGCTTTTGGTGCCCTTTTAATAGGCTATATGTCGCAAACTATCTTTATTCCTCCTTTTCAAGATTTAGATTCTCTTCTAGATAAGAGTACTTACGATATTTTAACTCTAAATGGTTCTTTACCGTATTATCTTTTTGATGTATGTAATTTCATAGCGTATGTAAATGTAAAAATTACGTTGCTACGAATTAAAAAATTACAAAAATAAGATTAAAAAAACAATTTTTATTTTTTTTTATTTGATTTTTACTTTTTTAGCAAAAAATATTTTCCGTATACGAAAAAGCATCTCGATTGAAACGATATATTGTTATGAATTCAATTGAGGAAATGTATAAAACGATATGTTTATCTGAAAAGTTGTACGCGCTATACGAAAGTGAAGATGTAAAAATGGCTAGAGGAATATACTTTTGTCGATTAAATCCAGTTGGATTTTCTTTGTTTAGTTCGTGGATAATTTCAGGACTTTCGTTGAATTTTAAATACAAAAGATCTATTGATATCGGGTAAATATTTATATTAAAATTGATATAATTTCTTAATGATGCAAATTTATTTGATTTTCTAGAAGATAAAATAATTTTTTATTTTTATTATATAGATTGCTAAGATTATATGAAGTCGGTATTATGGACTTATTGAAATATCGTTGGATAAAATCAAAAAACGAAGAAAAAGAGCTAACAAAAATATCGGAACCAATTATTTTAGAACAAATATATTTGATATTATTGATATTCGGTAGTGGATTCTTAATGTCCTTTATAATTCTTGTATTTGAAAACTTGATATTTTATTGCAAAAATTAATAAAATATTTTATAGATTATAAAAAGATATTATTATTGAAAAATTTGTAATTTCTGTATTAAACTAAACGATTTATATGTTTATTTATATATATACATATATATTTTATAAATATTCTATTTAACAATAAGTATAAGAGTATAATAATAAATATCTATATGTAAAATAATTATTATGTTTTTGCATTATCATGTTGTTTATCCCATTTTTCTGGAGATGGTACTACTTCGGCAACTGATTCAACAACATTATCGGTAGGTAAGGACTCTTTTTCTTCTTTCGGCAAAATATAAGTTTTTGATGATATTTCGATTGGTGACATCCAATCTGGTATAATCTTGCCATGTATTCGCCAAATACCATATTCATTGGATAAATGTTTTTCGAACACTATATAATCCAAAACATCTTTTTTTACTGTTTCGCTACCTAATAAAACTCGTCCGAATCGATCGTAAATGCATAAAAGCTAAGAAAAAAAATATTCATATGATTATTCAAATATTTCAAATATATCGTATGTAAAAAAAAAATTTTATAAAATATATAAACCTGTTGAGTATGGAAACGGATAGTAACTTGTGCAAATTCATTCCCTTCTGTTATAATGCTTGTGACTCTTGCGTGTACGAGACGTGCTGGTTCCAAAGATTCCACAAATTTCCAAATAATTGTTTTATTCTTTATATTATGCATCATTATCTAAAATTAAATATTTACGATATATTTCGTACATATTATCGTATATCATTATGTAAAAAAAAAAAAAATATTATATTTAAATATATAATATAAGTGAAACTTACTGGATATGCAGTTTCTGTAACGTATTTAAGTATTTCATCTTTTTTTTGACTAAAAAAACGTAAAAAGCATATAGTTAAATTTGAAATGTATGATTATTTTTTACATCTAATATAATAATATATATGATCGATTTTTCATTTCAAATAAATTCTATTCCAAATAAATTTATCAATTAGTAATTACTTACTTGCATAAGGCTTCGTGTGCTTTTTTATAAATATCCAACGTTTGTTCTAAAAATGTCTTAGTTGTATAATTTTCTTCATATCCCTTGATTTTCCTAAGAGCCAAGAAAGATTTACTCTTTTTGTTTATAAATTCAATTTTTTGTTTTGCACCCTAAATAATATACGATATTTTACATACAAAAATATTTAGAAAACTTTGTTAATTTAATTTTTATTAATCACATTCTATATATATATATATTATATATATATATATATATATATATATATATATATATATATATACATCATATATTATATATATCATATATTGCATACCACAGTAGTAATGGGAGAAAATTTTCCATCACCCTCTGGAACGATATAACTTTCAAATATTCCTGGTGTAGAAGAAATATAAATGGGTCTTTCGTTCCAAGTTCTTTGTGGCATTATTCCAAATTTTTTCATTTGTAATCTTATTTCATCGTTTCCCAATTCTGATGATTTATTATAATTGGGTAATTCTATTTTGATAAATTTTTGTCCTCTTTCTTTACGATATTTTTGATTAAAATGTTTTTTTATATTTCTAATTTGTTGAAAAGTATTGTTAAATGGATTATTAGTAGGACTTGACGTTAAATTATTCTGAAAAATATATAAAAATATATAATTATATAAATATAATTTATTTTATAATAAAATATCTTGATAAATTTAATTTAATAATACAATGATAATAAATAGTGAAATTCATTTAATCATAATTAAAGAAAAATACCTGCGTATATTTCTCAAAAATGCAAATTGCACTTCTATATTTTGACATCATTTTTACAAATATATTTTAAAATTGTTAAAACTTATAATTAATAGTTTTTAATAATTTCTTTTTTACAATTTATTTAAATAATTTTGTACACTTCTATCAAATGGTTATGTACACATTGGTTATATCGAGATGGAGGTTACATTGAAATGGAAACATAAAATACAAATTAATGAAATACAACGTTTAATAAAAAATTTACGTTCAATCAAAAATATTTCTATTAATCAAGAAAATATAAAATCGTAAGTATTTTAAAAAATCCTTTTAAAATCGTATTAAATTTAAAGATATAACACAATGGAAAAAAATTGCGAAATGATGGCGCTGTGATAGATAAATTTTATCACGAATATAATATAACATTTCGTATATAATATATTATGTATATAATATATATAATATTTATTTGATATATTTAGAATTTTATTATTTTTGGAAAAAATATTGATTCTTTTTATATTATTATTATTAGTAGTAGTAGTAGTATTGTTGATATAAAAAAATAAAAATTAAAGAAAATTATTTGTATTTTCAAAATACAAAATTAACACAATAATTAAACACATATTTAACTAACACTATATTTAAACTTTATTTTAAATTTCCAATTATTATATAAATAATTTTAGATTTAAATGACTGATATGTATAGTTCTATTGTATTTTTTTTTTTTTTTTACTAAATTATTAAAAATGATTTTTATTTTAAAATATAAAAAGTAATACAAAAGTAATACATTTATAAAAGTGTACCTATGTATTTTTCTATAATAATTCAATAATCTTTATTGATACGATTTATAAACGCAAAATTTTTATTGGTAATATCGATAAAGTAGAATGCACGTGGGTAGTAGTAACGCGTCTAAATAAGAAGTCTTATCGAATGTTTTTTAAAATATATAATTTTAATTTGAATTGAATAAAATATTAAAAATATTAAAAATTAATTTAATTGTTTAATTTATTAATATTATCTTTGATCTATAATTTAGATTGCATATATATAAATATTAAATGGTGTTCGTACATTTTTGTCTCGAAAAAGGAAGGTTATATAAAATTAAAGGTTATAATAACAGGTTATATTTTAAAAACTTATTATAATATGTATATATATCTATTTTGATTGAAAAATTAATTGTGAAAATTAATTGAAGAATTAATTGTGGTATACATATTCTAAAGTAAGTTATATCACGAAATATAATCATAATATATATAAATTAATTTTTAAAATTAAAATCAATGTGTGTTAAAATATTTTATTCTCAGGAATCTTTTATTCTCAATTTACTTTAATAATAAAAATGGCTAAAGCGAAAAAGAAATTATTATCAGAAATTTCCCAACAAAAACGTGATCGACGAAACGAAAAATCTTTAAATCCATTTGAAGTGCATATAAATAAGATTAAACAAAATGTATTAGGTAAAAAAGATAAAACGGATAAAGGACTTCCGGGTGTATCACGTGCAAAAGCAATTAAAAAACGGAAAGAAACGCTTCTTCAAGAATATAAACTAAAAAATAAAAATAATTTGTTTTTAGACAAACGTATAGGTGAAAAGAATTTATTTATGAATGAAGAAGAAAAAGCCTTGGCTAGATTTGCAGCGGAACGTATGAAAGCTCATAAAAAACAGAGTATTTATAATTTAAATGATGAAGAAATATTAACGCATAAAGGTCAAACTTTAGAAGAAATTGAAAAATTTGATGATCCAAGAAGTGATGATGAATATAGCGATGATGAAAATAGAACTGGTAAATTAGATGATAAATTTGTCGGTGAAGTTCACTTTGGTGGTGGAATTTTATCAAAATCAGAATCTGGAAAATCTAGGAAAGACATTATAGATGAACTTATAGCGGAGTCAAAAAAACGTAAAGCTGAGAAACAAAAGATTCGTGAACGAACCATAGATTTAACGGAAAAACTTGATTCTGAATGGAGAGATCTTCTTCCGATAGTGTCGGCAACTAATAAAGATATTGAGGAAGAAGTTATAAAGACGAAGGCTGATGATTATGATATTGCTGTGCGTGAATTAAAATTTGAGGCTAAGGGTATGCCATCGGATAAATTAAAATCTGAAGAAGATACGATAAAAGAAGAAAAAGAAAAATTAGAGGCTTTAGAAGCAGATCGATTGGCAAGAATGAAAGGACTTATAAATAATACGAATAATGAAATTAAGCACAAATCTGCGGATGATCTTGATGATGGTTTTATGTTAGAAACTATAAATGATGAAGCTTCGGATAATGAAAAAAATTCAATTAAAAATACACAACAATTTTTAAATAATGAAGATACTAGTGATACTGAAAATGATAATGATAATGATGATAATGATAATTTTAGTGAAAACAATTTAATTATTAATAATGATGAAAAAAATATATATACCGATACGAATGAAGAATTGAATGTTATTAAAATGAACGGCGGTATAAAGGAAAGAAAAAAAATAAAAAATTTTGCTGAAAGCGAATTAAATAAAAATTCCAATGAAGAAGTTTCAGAAAATTCTGAGGAGGATAATTTGTCGGATTTAAAAGAATCGGAATACTCCAGTGAAGATGAAGAAAAAAATGATAAAAATAATAAAAAGTCAAAGGCTAATTTAAATATTCTTGAATTAAATTGCAACATCAAAGTGCAAGAAATTAGAGATGATCTTTTAAAAAGAAAAGAAATCATGGAAAATGCAAGAAAAGAATTACCTTATGTTTATAAATCACCAGAAAATTTTGAAGAATTACAACAATTTTTACAAAATCGTAATGCTGATTATCAGTCAATTATCATAGATCGTATAATAAAATGCAATCATTGGTCATTAAATAGTATAAATAAAGAAAAATTATCAAATTTATTTTTGTTTATACTACAGCATTTAAATAATCATGCTATAGAAGATGATGTCGAAAGTGTGGTCAAATGTTGTCAAATTGTTGATAGGTAATATGCAACTTTTCAATAAAATTTAATTTTTTTTTTTTAATTTTTTATTTACGTTATAATTTATGTTAATTATGTATTGGCTTTAGATTATCTCCCTTCTTATATGATCTTGCGCATTTAAATCCGGAAAATACTAAATTTGTCGTACAAGCGATAATTAAGGAAAAGCATAAAGAATTTGAAAAAAATAAAAAAAAATATCCTTATCTAGACACTGTATGTTTAACGTTTAATTAGAAAATATATATATTTTATGTGATATTATAATTAATAAATCTTCTAATAAAAATATTTTTTTTTTTCAGCTTATTTTCTTTAAATTGGTTTCTTTGATATTTCCAACATCTGATTTCAGACATCCTATTACTACTCCCTGTTTAATATTTATGTCTCAAATATTATTTAGATGTCAAGTTAAAAATAAAGTAGATATTTCAAAAGGTCTTTTAATATGTACTCTTATATTAGAGGTAATTTACTTTATTATATTTTATAATATGAAAAATATGAAAAAATTATAATATGCATTATTATTTTATTTACAGTATACTGTATTAAGCGAACGATTTGCGCCATCTGTGATAAATTTTCTACGTGGTATAATTTATATATCTACGCCTAAACGCTTAATTCAAGGAATAAAAATGATACCACCTTTTAAAAAAACAGGAGAATTAAGTAATTTATTAATACTTGATGAAGATCAAACTAATTTAGATATTGATCCAATTAATATGCTTATGAAAGCGTCTGATTTGGTGGATGGACCGTTGGATGATAATTTTAAAATAAGAGCTTTATTCACGGCTATAAATCTATTATATGAATTTAAAAATCATTTTGAAAAATTAGAAATCGTGTATTCAATATTTGAACCAATTTTAAAATTACTCGAAGCAAATTCTTTCGATATGTATCCATTTAAAGTCAAGAAACGTGTTGAACGATTACGAAAAGATTTAAAAGAATTGAAAAATAAAAAATTAGAATATCTTGTTGTTGAAAAAAAGAAACCAAAACCATTAAGATTGTACGAACCGCGAATCGAAACGATGTATGTATTAATTTTGAATAATTGGTGCGTAAATAAATTATAAAATTTTATATATATTTTTTACAGATATGATAATAAAAAACATAAGACTATGTCCAAAGAGAAAGCCGAAAAAGAAAAATTATTGCACAAATATAAAAAAGAAATGAAAGGTGCTATTCGTGAAATACGAAGGGATCGAGTGTTCTTAGCAAAATTGCGAATAAAGCAACAGATTAAAAATGATGAAGAACGTAAACGTAAAGTGAAAGAAATCTTCGGCGAAGCTGCGATGCAACAAAGTGAATTAAAAAAATTGAAACGAAAAAAATAATATTGCATATCTAGAATATGTATTAATTTTTTTTTGTTATATTTTTATTTAAATTTATTTCACGCGTGATAAAGTTAAATGGAACGATATTGTTTGCAATGACGCTTCGTTCAATCTTTATATTTTTCATAATGATACTGCGCAATGTGCATTGTATCGTTAGAAATATAAATTATCGCACGTTGGCAACAGGATTTCGCAATTTATGTTACGAAACTGGTATGTACATATTATGTCTATAATACATAATCGCTATATTAGCGAAGTTTTTGTAATTTCAACATTTTTCTAAATGTTTATAAAATATAAACATTTTTATATAAAAGTTCTTTAATATATTTTCTTCGTTTCCAATAAAATAATAATTGTATTGTGTGAATCGCTATTATTTTAAAATAAAATGTACATAAATAATGATATATATAATAAATAATTTTTATAAATTTATTTTTGACTATTTACGCTGTATTTTTTTTAATTGGCATAAATATTTATATTTTTAGGATAAAAAACTATTGTTTTAAAATGATTAAAAGAAATAATCAATTTTTTCTGAAAAGTTATCGAATAAATTGCAAACGTTTGAAATTATACCTTCTTTCATCATATATTCCGGTATAACTAAACGAGTTTTAAAATTATTAAATGTATCGTTACGTAAAATTTGAGTATGTATAAATTGGGATTCATTACTATTTGTAATTGTATAAACGGGTTCTAATTTTTTTTTTAAATAAATTACAGAGTACCATTTATCAAAATATTCTTTTAAAATTTCAAAATTTTCAAATGATCTTATCATTGCATTTTTCAATTGCAAATCACGTTGATAATTAATATTACAAAGCGAAATTCTCAATAATTTTTTAAGTCCTTCTCGTAATACAAACTTTTCATACAATTTTAATGCTGCTTCTATTTCATTATTCATTTTTATCTTTTGAACAATATATTCTCTCCAAATTAAAAAATATTTTTTCAAAATTTTATATTCCATCGTGGAGATCACAAGAATTTCTTTTTTACGTATATTTAAAATATCTTGTAATTTGGAATGCCAATGTAAAATAAATTTTTTTAATAAAAAACCAGTTGCGATTTCGTTCAATTTTTGTTTATGAGTCATTTTTGTTTTGTATTGCAAGGAAAATTCTTTCCATTTATAAAAATATTTACAAATTAAATTTAATTTCCAATGTTTAATTGCTTGATTTAATTTTTGTTTTTCTTGCATAGTACTATAAAGTGCATTTCTCCATTTTTCTATATAAATAATTTGCAATTGTCGAATAATTTCTTCGCTTTTATCATTTAAATAAGATAATCTAATTTTTTTCTCTTTTCTATAAATAACATAATTATGAAATTTTTTTAAAGTTTTAATTATTAGTTTTTTTTCATAGAAATTGTTTGCTGCAAATGTCTTTCTTCTTTTGCATTTATTTTGAATTACATATAAACGCCAATTATTAAATATTCCATTTTTTTTTGTATTGTTAAATATGTTTTCTATTTCACGAATTTTTGTTGCATTTTCTATTTTTTTATTATACCATCTTTGCCACGCAAAAAATACTTTTTGTACGATTTTAAAATTATAAAATCTTTCAGCATTTTCATTTGCAATTTTTTTTGCGATGGATTCATTCACACACTATTGTAGAAGAAATCAAATTTAATAAAAATTTTAAATTAATATAATGCGATCGATTGTATAAAAATACTACCAAAATAAATTGTTTGAAATATCGTTTTAACAATCTTTTTCTATTGTATGTGGAAATATACTCTTCAATATTTAACTTTTTTATTTTGTAATTGTGATATATCTTCCAACCGTTAAAATATTTTATTAATAACTTATTTCTATAATGCGTAATTACATTTCCTATTTTATCTCTCTGCGATTTGATTTCGCAAACGTTAATCCAAGTTTTTACGAATGTTCGTAAAATTTTTGTTGCATAAAATTTATGCGCCTAAATTTAAAATTATTTACGAATCAAAAAAAAAAAAAAATCATAATTGAAATTTTGATTATTTAATGTTACCTCATTAATTTTATTTTCTTCGATTTGTTTATGTTTTCGTAACAGTACGTATATTTTCCAATTTATTATACATTTTTTTAAACAATATAAATTATGGAATGTAACAACTTTTTGTAATAATTCTTCTTTCTTTTTTATCATTGCGATATAATTATACCAATATTTAAAATATTTTCTTAATAGAAATTTAGAATAATATAATTCTGTTTTTTTATAATTTTCAGAAATTGTAAATTTGTTACAACTATCATTTGTAGATACAACAATATATTTCCATTTTAATAATACATTTTTTGATAATATATTCAAAACTTTTTTTTGTAGTTTTTTGTGATAAAAATAATCTGCTTTATATTTAGATTTTCTTGCATGTAATTTATGTATGACATATATTTTCCAATGTAAAAAAATATTTTTTAAAATTATTCTTTGATGAAAATTAATATGTGTCTTTTGAATAAAACTTAAATATAATGCAAATAATTAGTTACATTAGTTATAATGTTATATAATATTAAGTATAATTTATGATATCTTACTTTGAAAATGATGGACTATTGATATTTATAATATTTGATGTATCAGTCTTATTGTTATTATTTTTCATAATTTTAAATATATTATATGTAATTGAAGGATTCTGTGATGAAACATTTTTAAACCAATGATGCAATGATTGCAATTCCAAATTATACATAAAATTCTTATTAATTATTTTTTCCATTATTATATATTATTATACATATTTCTATTAACATGTTTTATTAATATTTTTTATTATTATATTTTTTGTTATTTTTATACATAACTGAAGTATGATCAATATTAAAATTAAAAACTAAATAAATATTCGATATTAAATTTTTAAATATATCGTTATAATTAACGATAGAGATAAAAAAAATATTTAAAAATATTAAAAATATATAGAAATATAACGTATAGAACATAAAATAATCATCATTATAATTTAAATTTTTAAATTTTTTTTAAACTTATATAGAAAGCAGAAAATATATGTATAATATATATTTTTTAACTTTCATTTAAAATATTATACATGCATTGAAGTTTGGATTAACAAAATGATTATTTACATTTTAATGAAAAAAATATATACAGGAAAAAATTTAGAAAATATAATTAATTAATTAAAATTAAATTTAATAAAATAAATTAATTAAATCTAGATCTGTTGATATTTCGGTGAAAGTAAGTATCTGAAAAAGGTTCTACTAGGTTTTTAATAATGGTTATGAAAAATTTCAATGTTTATTTCAAAAAATTAAAATTTAATATCTTTCTTATAGTATGATGAATTTAACATTTTGTGATAGCAAAATTAATTATATTTACAAAGAAATGCAACAGGATTTATATGCAATATTTAATCATATAACCTTAGTAAGTATATTTACAATTTTTTTTATTCTTTAAAATTATCATTTTATTTAATTTATGATTATATTTTTTTATATTTCTCGTTATTTATTATTATTTATTTTCATTAATCTAAATTTAAATATTTTTATTTGATGATATTTATCAGATATGGATGAAAGAATCCTGAAATCAATATTACACAGTTGTGAAAGTGCTACAAAAGATCTTGAAAATTCGAAGGAATATAAAATATTATTAGAAAAGAATAAGTTCCTTCCATCTATTGACATAATCGATGCCCTATGTTCATCTTTAACAAAACTATTGTCGTATAAGGTTTCAAAAGAAGCATATCAACGTTATAATGTACGACTTCGTGTAATTGTATGTATATTTTTCTTCTACATGAAAATTTATAAAATAATTTATTATGTAACTTCAAAATCTAATGTTTCTTCAGGATGTTTTACGAGAATGGTGTAGAATTAATGATGATTTACAAGATTTTAAAATACTTAGGGATGAAAAACACGCCTCAACATTATTAAAAAATTTGTTAAAGAAATATTTGACGGATGATATCTTAAATAGTTGTGAATCAAATGAAAATTTGTTACCTTTAACCAATGCTTTAATATGTTTAACATCTATAAGTTCGTGCTATAAATATTATGTAGAAAAATTATTAGTAAAACTTACAGAATTGGAAAACTGTGATGAAAATGAATACTTATTATGTTATGCTGTACAGAAAAGTTCCAACTTAAATCTTGCAATTTCAACTATAGAAATTATATATAAATCACAGAAATATAAATTAATAGAACAACCATTATTATACGATTTTATGTCATCATGTATTAAATTAAATAAAGATGACAATGTAGACGTTTCAGAGAATGTAAAATTAATAAATCAATTATTCGATTTTATCATTAAATCTCCATATATCTTTTTGTTAGTATGTGGTTTTTTAAAAGAATTATTAGTGCAATTAGATTATGCTCCTTCGGTCATGAATTTTATACAATCAACTTTAAAACGCATTAAGGAATATTGTAAAAGTCAAGATAAAGATATTTTAGATCTTTATCCAAGGAATTTACAATCTCTTATAATCTTATTGCGAATAGAATCTATACATCATACGGATGAATCTAAAAATGCAACTTTAAAAATGCTAGAAAATATTTATATTGAAAATGAAGATATTGTAATAACATTATTATCACATTATCCTCAATGGCTAAAATTATTTGGACAATTCTTAAATTCAGATATTAAATAATATATGTATGTTCTTTAAAATTAAAAATGCTAATGCTCAAAATATTAACAATACAATATATTCTACTGTCTTGAAGTTTTGAATATAGAATTTATAATAAATGATAAGAAAATGTATTTATATTTTATGATACAAATAAAAAAAATTTAAGATTTGAAAATTATAGTATCAAAAGAAAGTACCTTTATTAAATTTCTGTTTCTGCATAATATAAATTTAATAGTTTTGAACAAAATGTAATAATTAACTTAAGTAGTTATTCGCACACAATAGATAGTTTTTCTTTGTTAATTGCAATATGCGAATCTCAGGTCGTACCCAACCATTAAAAACCAGACGTTTTTATTACAAAACTTATCGTTACTGTCTCAAAAACAAGCAAAATATTTAACGATACCGATCCATCTTTTAACAATGAGAAAAAAAGAACAGAAACTCGGATCAAGTTATTCAATACTTCTTTTCTCTGCTTAACAACACTTACATAGGGTTCCTTTGTTTTCAAGTTATGGAAAGAATGGTGCAACATACAACGAATTAAAATTACAAATAATGATTATCATATTTTTCGAATATTTTTTAACAAATATATAAAAAAATCTTTTACTTTTTCTTGTACTCCTTTCCTTGTACTTTCACAATTTTTTAAAACGGTTAAAATCACAAAATAACTTAACAACATAATATTATCAATTTAAAATAATTTAATTAACTAAATTTCTAAATTTAAAATGAATATAATTAATTTTCAATACTTTATGTCAAGAATATGACACTACAAATTCGAAATTCAATTTATATATAATGTTAAATTTATCATGTGATTTTTTTTTATAATAAACATTTGATAAAATTTACATACGGATGATTGACAAAAATAAAAAAAAATTTATCATGAAAATACCATTAAAACGGCAAAAGTCTTTCAAAGAACATGTATGTATGCACCATTCGCTTTGTTAACTCGAAACCCGTGTTCGTTTGAAGTTAATCTAAACGCTTCGATAATCAACAAGCGAACTATTCCCGTAAGATTTGAATGAATCTGTGTTTATAGGGAAACGAAATTACGCGTGAAACACGATACACGATACGGAACACAAAATAACAAATTAAACGATACACTCCAGCTGTGCGTTCTGAATTGGATCGCGCCACCTCTTATCGGTTTCTTTCGCGCCCTTCGCTCGCGCATACGCATTGAAAATGCGCATGCGTGTTTATGCAGAACGTCATCGCAAATTTAAACTTGAACAGTTTCTAAGCGCGGTACCCCTTGAATCTCCTGTGATGCTGTAGAACCGCTAGAAACATTCTCTTCGGACATCGTACTTTTGCTCGTGCTTGATGTAGTTATAGCAGAACCAGAAGATAACGGGATATCGGTAGTTGTTGGGACTTGAGAGGCAGGAGCGGACATGGATTTTTCAGGATTGATGGTGGACGGTTCTGCTTGGCGTGGCAGGGATTTGCGTCGTTTCAAAGACTCGCGTTGCCGTTGATCGGCCTGCCGCTTTTCCGTTTTGGTCTTTACACCAGCAGGTTTCTGTGTTACCTGTCGAAGCCAATATATCAATGCAGCAGCTTCTGATGCATGAATGAATAATATATACCTTAAAAGGGTTGTTTATAAAGAAAATCGACGAGAGTGCCGGGAAGAAGGTAAACTATACTTAAATAAAATCTTTATGGCTGGATTGTTTATATTTAAATCGAAAATAATTTTCTATGATTCGCGTTATTTCTTCCGGGAACTCTATTCATTTTATAGGGTGATTCACATTGTCTAGACTAATAACAGTTGTAAAAAGTGAAAAAAGCCAAATACTAAAAAAAAAAGGTTCATTAATAATAAATATTATATACAGTATTTTAAAGTATTTTACATTTTAAAAATGAAAATTCATAATAGATTAAATTTTGTTTTTAACTATATTAGTTTTCATTTTGAAAATATAATTTGTCTTCAATGTATGAATCACCTTGTACATAAATAACATGATTAAAAAATAGACACTCATCAAAAAATTTTAACTAATAGTATTTTTTTGATTTAGTTATCATTATGTTCGATTTCGAATTTCTTTTTTCAAACTAATACGATTAAAATTACTTTAAGACCAATATTTGGTCTTTTACATGATTTTATGCATGTATGTACTTTTCTTATGGTACATATCAAAGATATAAAGTTCTTTTTTTAATTTAATTTCGAATTCATAATTCATGCGGATATTTAGAGACAATCTCTGGATATTAATAAAATAATTTTTTTTTTAAAATATCGAAGGTAAAAGTTGAAAATCTGTCCTCTTTTATTGCACTTTTGATGAAAAAAGATAAATAAATAAATAAATAAAAAATAAAAATGAACTACGGCTTATTCTTGTGTCTACAATAAATATAAACGTTCTTTTTTTTCAAATTTTTCAACGAGGAATTCATTTAAAAATGTCATGTTACTTAGCAATTTAAAATCATCATTTTCCTAATCATTTTTCATATGTATTAAATAGATAAGTTTATACGTTATATATTTAGTTTCAAAGTATAATTAACAAATTTATTTAAAATTTAAAGAAACTATTTAATGATATCATTGCATATAATGCATTTTCTTCTCAAAAATAGAAAGCACAAAGCAGTTTATAAATATAAAATATCCTCGTTGAAAGAAACGTACGTAATAAGAATGTTTCGATACACGATTTACGTGCATATTTTCGTACTCGTTATATCGACGGAAAAAGGAGATGCGGGGGTAGGGGGTTTGGTTTTGGATTATATGAATCGTTTCACTTTTTTTCGTCCGGGTAAAAGTATAGACAGTAGAAATGTTATAAAATGAAATGCTCTGTTACCTTGTAAAATGTGTTACATTTAACATCGAGGCGATGAATCTTTTTTTTTTCGTTTAATTTCGTTTTGTTTTCAAACGTGTTGTGAGCCGTAGTAGTATTGTTTCTATTGTTATTATTTTTTTCTTTACTTTTTTTGTTTTTTCAGTTCCTTCGTTTTTATCTTGTTTCGTCGAACACACAAGTCAAATAGACGGACAGCTGTTATGCTTAAATGAATGTTGATTTTTCTTATCGTTAATGTTTTTTTAACATTTTCTTTCTCTCTCTCTTTTCACTTTCCCTTTCTCTCTCTCTCTCCCTCTCTCTCTTCTTTTATCTATCCCCAATATTTTTATTATTTTTATTTCTTTTTTTAGATTTTCTCGTTCTTTTCAATCATACAACTAATTCCAACAAATATACACGTACACGACCATACACGTGTATCGTAAGTATTTAACGTGTACACGTGTACGTTAGTAGTTTTTTTTTTTTTTTTTTTTTTTTTTTTTTTTTTTTTTTTTTTTTTTTTTTTTTTTATAGTTAAACACACTTTTCTGCAACATTTCGTGTTTATGTGGACAAAAGATCGCTCTTTCGTGATTTACAATATGGCCGATCAGTAATCACAGTGTCGCCATCACGTGCGAATCTCTCGTACCATAAAAATCACGTGCCAAGTCGATCTTTCACCCCTTCCCTTGAATTTATATTCCATCACTCTTCTTTTTCTTTTTTTTTTTTTTTTTTTTTTTTTTTTTTTTTTTTTTTTTTTTTTTTTTTTTTAAATAGTTAATATATTAAAATATTACAAACTATGACGAAAAAAACGTTGATTCGAAGAAATAATTAGTATGAATCATATATCCACGGTAGATCATTCTCGTGTTCGTAACATTTTGAAAATTTGATTCGATTAGTTTTTTTTTTTTTTTATATAACAATTAATATTATGCTGATATCGATGCTTGAAATAAATAACGTTTAAGAGTTTTTAGTGTCACATCTCTTGTAACATCTCACCGATGTTGGGGACGATGCACCTTCAAGGTATGGGTGCAAATTAATATTTATTATTATATATTTTTTTACGAGAAATTTAGATTAATATAAATAATTTTTAAAGCTTGTATTATATATCGAATAGAAAGATTTAAATTTTTGAAACGTACATTTTTATCAGTATCATAAGAATATTATAAATATTATATAAAAAAGAGATAGTTATTATAAAAGAATCAAAAAGAAAAAATTTTTCACTGATTTTTACTTAATCATTAAAGAGAAGTTTCGTTTTGCTTCATTATCTAATTATTAATTTGTTGCATTCTTCGATTTTTTGAATGCAAATTGCTAAAGTGCTATTGGATATTATATAAGACGAAATGTATGAAACTTAGAAATATGTCTACTATTATTTCTTATAACTATTTACAAAATTCATTAACCAAAATTTATCGAAGAGAAACAATACAATACAAAGTGATGGAAAAGGCACAATATTTGCACTTGTTAATAAATTTTTTAATTGTGTTCAATGAAAAATGCAATGCACTTATTGCCAAAAATATTGTAACCCTTTATGGACGAAGGCCGTGATATTTCAGGCAGTGATTATCATCATCATGTCTTTAAATATTTCGTGCACGACTTTCCTCGAACAAAATATATATATATTTATATATATTTTTTAAAAGCACGCTAACGATTTATTAACCCTTTGCATGGTCAAACTTTTTTTCACGTCAGTCGACCAGCAACTTTACAAAATTTTTCCAATTAAAAGTAATACAATATTTAAATGATTTATTTAATAATGAAGAGACTTTTTAAAAAGACATTTTCTAAAATTATTGTATTCCTTTAAAATAATATACCATTCATATATATATTCATTTCATTATTTGAAGAATACATTAAAATTAAATCTTAATTTAATTGCCATTTAATCTTAGATTATTTAAGAAATGACATTATGCAAAGGATTAACAGAACAAATTTTTAGCATTTATACAATTAGTCGCAATAGAATAAAACATTCCAATTTTATATTTTAATTTTCGAAAACTATCTTTGCTTGTAAAAAGATTTTAATTGTCCAGTTGCATCCTGCTTCATTAAATGCAATTTTCTTAAAAGTGCATTCTATACATAATTACAAATTAAGAAAATTTTGCATCATTTTTTTTTATCCTGTAATTGATAAAAATTGGTCTCAAATTTGGCTTCGAGGGTGCATCATCCCCGCAATCAGTATTTGTGTTTATTCTTTTTTTTTCTTTTCCATTTTTGTAAAGAGATAGCTCGCTTCCTCAATTATCTCGAATATACACGCACATGAACACATACACGCACGCATGCATACACGCTATAAGAGCGCGTTATAAGAGGAAGAAAAGAAAGCGCCACGCTTAAAAGATAATTTTTCCCTTTTGTTTCTTTTTTCTTTTCTTTTAAGTGAAAAAAGAAGGAGGGGGGAAAAACCAAAGGAAGGATAAATTGTCGGATCACGATTATTTAAGGAAAAAATGCCTAAAATCGTCAATTGAAATTTCGAGTTGGCATCATTTTTCGGTTTTCTGACTCGATTCTTCATTCTCATTATTCTTTTTTTCTCTTTTTTTCTTATTTTGCCATTTCTCTCGCATAGCATTTGCTTTGCGCGTATCTTCTATACATCAACTACGCCAAACCTGAGTGGGCCAATTGATAAAAGAATAAAAAAAAAAGAAAGAAAAAAAAAAATAAAAAAAAAACAAAAAAGTGGAAAAATAGAAAAAAAATTGTACAAAGATAAGATAAAGAATGACTTAAAGTTTTAGAAAAAAGTGAAATGAAATTGGAAAAAGCTAATGATGATCGACAATCCATTTAAAATACGTAAAAAATAAAACTAATTTAAAAAAAAAAAGAAAAAAAAAACACAAAGGAGAAGAGTAAAAAATGAAAAAATCAGCCCGCTCGAGGCTGGTCTTGGTCGATTAATAATCAGGATACACAAATTGATAGTGTCGTTTCTTTTTCTCTGGTAATAATAGTATTAATAGTACTAATAATAATAATAATAATAATAATAAAAATAATAATAATAATAATAATAATAATAATAATAATAATAATAATAATAATAATAATAATAATAATAATAATAATGAGAATAATCATAATAATAAGTATAATGACAATATAATCGTAATAATTATAATTATAATAATAATCGCAGCGAGCGCAGGGTTTTCATACCGTGGTGTTTTTGGATCTCCTGTCGCAAGCCGCGAGAATAAAATAGTTTTATAATGCGAGAAAAACGTCAGCACGATCGATGTTAAGGGAATTAAATGATTATGGAAGGGGATGGATTAAATTATCTAAAATGATTTAGTCATTAGACGAGAATCATACTAGCGAACGTGTGTACTGTAATTAATAAAATACACACATGCATACACTCTCTCTCTTTCTCTCCTAAGGGGAGATTGATTATCGTATATTTAATTATTAACAGGAATTATTAACAATGATAATTATTATTATCATTGATTCTCTACGCGTTATAACAGCTTGCGAAACACAGCTCTGGTATGGAAACCCTACGATAATAGCAGTAATAATGATAACAGTAGTGGTCAAAAGCCCCATCAAATATAAACGTAAGTGTGGATCTTCGGCTACCTTTTTATTCTCTCTCTCTCTCTCTCTCTCTCTCTCTCTCTTTTTCATATACACTCTCTATCTCTTTTTTTCGCTTCCTTTCATATCAATATTTAGTAAAAAGGTTCGCCGATNCTCTCTCTCTCTCTCTCTCTCTCTCTCTTTTTCATATACACACACTCTCTATCTCTTTTTTTCGCTTCCTTTCATATCAATATTTAGTAAAAAGGTTCGCCGATTACCAACCGCACAACGTTTTTTTTATTTATTTTTTTTTTTTTTTCATGTAAAACAGCAAACGAAACACCAAGCTATTCTCTAACAATCACCTTCTCCGCTATATGAAAAAAGAACATTCGATAGACAGCTAATGGTCAATTATAAACTGTTGTTAATCCGTGTGTGGCGATAGTAAATTTTTTTTTTTTTTTGCTTTATTTCAATAGAGTACTTCTCTCACTAGACACGATTCAACATATAGAAAGTTTATCGTTATTATTTAATAATAATTATTATTTTATCATTTATAATTATTATCTTAAAGCTGTCTAAGGACTCGCTGCGTGGCAGGAGCATCGTGTTTTTTTCATTCTTCATTTTTTTCCCTTCTTTATTTGTTTATATTAATTTGTTTATTTATTTATTTATTTATTTCTTTAATGTGTCAGACGATTTCTTTTTTGTGTTATTTTTTTTTTTCTCTTTTAATTTATATTTTCTCTCTTTTTCTGACTCTGTTTCTTTGTTTTTTCTTTTCCCTTTTTCTTTTTTTTTCTTTTTTTTTATTATTTAGGTACGCTGTAGTCGTCCTCATTTCAATAACATGTTATTATTTTATGTTTTAATGTTTTTAATGTGTGTGTTATACACGTGATCGCGTACATCAATTAGACAGTGTGTCTAGATCAGCGTAGGTGTACGTATATGTATATTTTATCTTAAATATCTACTACTTGTTGATGCTTTGTAATTTGTTAATTTTTTTATAGATCACAATATGTCATACCATCTGCGCCAGTTGATCAATTTTCCTCTATGCCTTTTCTTTGCCGTTTCTATCGGAACGCTCAGTTTGGACAATTATTATATTCCTTGTGCACAGATTGCGGGTTCACCGACCCCCTTAAACTCAACGAAAAGTTTGACGAAGTATGATAAAAAGAAGGTAAAAGAAAATATTAAGATGATAAAAAAAGAAAGAATACAACAAACAGATAAATATATTATTTCATTCGAGAAATATTTTTTTTTTTTTTTTGCTGAACATTGCTAATCATTTGTTCAATATTTCTTTAATAATCGATTCGATTGTTAAAAAAGCAAGATAGACAAAAAATTACAACAATAATAATATCACAAGATAATTAATTTACGACGAAGAGAATCGCTCAAGAGAATCTAGTTCAAACTATTCTTAAATTGAAGAGGATCGGGATATACATATATCTTTCTCATTGATTCACCCACTCGTGCGTATTCGAATTTGTTATTGTGATTTATATTTCATATTTATATCATCAAAACCTACGTGCTAAGTAAATTCAGACCAGCCGAAATTGTCGATTTCGAAGGAAATGCAATCAAAGAAATATCTTATCGAAATAGATAATAGGTTCATTGCTAAAAAATAAATAAAATTTTACTCATCTCTTCAAACGTAAACGCGCCGATAACGCACGAATCGGAACGCGTCCATCATTAATTAAATAGCACTTTATGCGTTTAATACATCTATGCCGCTCCGCTGCTCTCAAACTCTTTGTTTCTTATTCCGCACCAGTGCGAAATATATTTAGATTATTATTTCGATTAATCGATTATCGTTTCGATCACGAAGAAACGCAAGAGAACGGATAGATATTATTCATTTTCATATTATTATTATTATTTTTTTAAATCTTTCTTTCATTATCATTGTTGATATTAGCACAGCGTTGCAGAATCAAAGCGTATTAAGATTTTCCTTTTCCATTGAGAGAAATAACTCGGTTACTGCAGTTAATTCTCCTTCCAACTCGGTCGTTCGTCTTTGAATATTATCATTTGCCTTCTCTTTTCCGTTTAGTATCATATATATATTTTTTCTCCATTTTTTTTTCTTTTTTAATCCTCACTTTCTTTCCTGTTCTTGTCACATGTTCCTTTTTATTTTTTTTTTTTTCCTTTTCCTGTGTCCAGGGAACTGGACCTAAGCGACTGCAGGCCCGCAACATCTTCTTCAATTCGATTGATTGCACGTTAACAGGTGATACAGTTACCTGGGTCCATGGTCCATTGGCATTTCGTTACAATTATACAGTTATATAGATTCTATATAAATACCTAATATGCATTCGTATAATACATACCTAATATGCAATTGTGTTAGAAATCGACCGTCACTCAAACGTAACGTAATTACGTACGCGTGCACACCGTCTCTTGTACCGTTCGTCTTTCATGATGGAATATTTTTATGTGAATATAAAATCTGTGTGTGTGTGTGTGTGTGTGTGTGTGTGTGTGTGTGTGTGTGTGCGTGTGTGCGTGCGTGTGTATGTTGTATGCTATCTGTAAGAAATTTTTTTGATAATCTATATATATTTATATTTTTTCTTTTAAGTGCATGTATATGTTTAATGTGTCTAAATGTATGTGCGTGTATGTGTATACCGTTGTACGTTTGCATTGATGTCTTTATAATACAGATTCCAAACTTATATCTGTGTCTGCATGCGTACTTCCCCGTACGAATCGATGAAACAAAACATAACATAATTTTGTATAGTATTACATATTATAAGGATTCGTATTCGGCTAGAATCTTTTTATCTTTTCATCTATATTATATATTATTTCATTAATTATTTTTTTTTTTTTAATAGAGACGTCGTTCAGTTTGTAAATAAATGTATACGGTGTCGCGGTTATGATTCAACGTTTATGCGTTAAACGAACAAGCACTTTTGTTTCTTTCTTTTACAACTTAATCGTAACGAGCATCATAAATGAGCAATATCGAGCGAGCGTGCTATATGCGTAAAAAAAAAAAAAAAAAAAAAAAAAAAAAAAAAAAAAAAAAAAAAAAACATAATAGACTTCGTAAAAGAAGCAAAAGTATACGCAGTTTTATTCGCTTTGTATACGAAAAATAGATTTAAACGAGATCCTTTTATCGAAATTTTTCACGAGATTTGTATACGCTCGTTTATCTTATTCTTATAATAAGTGATTGGCCGTTTTCTGCGATCAACGGGATTTTAATCTAACAACGCGACTACCCACACCACGCTCTCCTTTCTCCTTGCGATATAATCGTTAATATAACAACTATTCATTTATTCATAAATTCTGAACGATCAAATTCAATTGTAACGTGATCTCCACTACCGTTCATTTCCCATTGATTAATCGTTTTTCTTTCATTATTTCATAGGAATTAATGTATCTAATTAAGCTCTCAAGCTGATTTATCTTATAAGAAATTTCATAAGTGAGAAAGAAAATATAAGTAACGAATTAAAATAAAATTTAAAGATGGTACAGAGAAATATTTCAGGAAATGAACGGTAGTACTCATAACGTTAATTGATGGCAACTCGTATCCACCTAAGGACATCGCGCAATAATTCTATATATCCACGATCCCGTCGTTGCGTATTTCCATAGAATCGCACGAGCGGCAGACTCGTTTTTTATTTTGTTTCGCGCACACACACACATCATCTATTCTCTTTTAATCCACTATCCTTCACCGTTTATTTTTTCTTTTCCTTTCTGCAGTTTGATTTCCCTTTTTTCCCCCACAACTGGTGGTGGCCGATAGATCGGAAGTCAACATGACGATGATCGATTACGTTAAATATCGTTCTCTATCGGATCTGCGTGCAATTACGAATTTCTATGTTGAGCAACCAGCACTGACTGGTTGTATAAACTCTTTGCGACGATATATATATANGGTGTTTTCAGTTGACGACGAGTGACGGTAATAGTGATGGTGGCGATAACGATGACGATGACGATGACGATGATATTGACGGTGACGATGACGATGACGATGACGATGACGATGACGATGACGATGATGATGACGATGACGATGACGATGACGATGACGATGACGGTGACGGTGACGGTGACGGTGACGGTGACGGTGACGGTGACAATGACGATAACGATGTCGATGAAAATGGCGATGACGATGGCATAGACTTTGACAAGTTCCTTTAGTTCGCTTAATGACTTGAAAACGAGTTACGGTTATAATTCCAATGTTCAAGTTAAGTTAAAGCCTTTTTCACTTCATTAAAGGAGAGTCTAAATTTGGATTGGGGTTAGGCTGTTGTGAGGTCGATGGTGATGGTACCTGTGCCACCACCGAGCCCCTCCCCTCGGGCAAGACATTTCCTCCGCCACCGCTGTTCATGCCGACGTTACTCCCAGCGCCTCTTTCTCTCATTCTTTCACAATAATCTGCGAATATATCACGAAAACGCTCCCAGGATTTCTCTGGTACGGTGATTGCTGTTCTAAAGTGTGTTTTCACCTGTAAAAACAAATTTTTTTTTATTATGTTTTTCTTCTTATTCTTTTTTTTTAACAGTTAATTTCGTTTTCTTTCAAATTAAGACGTATAGTATTACATTTGATCGTGATTTTTTGAATCGGTATTCTATATTGATATATTTGCAGATTTTATATTATTAAACAATAAAAACAATAAAAAAAATGTAGTAAAAACATTAATGTTAATGTACATTCATATAATATATAATACATTCATATAGTTTCCAAGTTCTAATTATATTTATGCTCTAATAATATTCTATGTTAATAATCTTAATGACTTTCTTATTATTATATTCTTATTATCATAATATTATAATTTAATTTCTAATATTATCATAATCTAAAATCATATATTATATTATATTAAGCAACATATAATATTATGATTATATATCTCATATTAAGATTTAAATCATATTATTAATTAAGATTTAAATTATCTATCTCTTCTAAGTAAATTTTGTAATTATTTCGATAATCATCTTGATATCAATAATAATTGAATAATTGATAATAATTGAATATTTATAACAGATTTATAATATAATATTAATATTTATACATTTACAATCTTAATTTGATGTAATTAATTACAAAAATAAATTGATCAAATATTTTATATATATATATATATATATATATATATATATACATTATATGAATGTTTTATGAACTCTTCTCTCCTCCCAATCCACCCTTAGAGTAATCTATTCAGCTCATGTCAAGAGACACACCCTGTATTTTTAGCTAGCGATACGCACGTACCTCAGAAATTCTCATGTAGATACCACGGTTATTCTGGCCGATATCAAAATAGAAATTCTTGCTATCCACGCGCATGTATCGTCCCTCTGGTAAGTCACCCTTGAAACCACCATCGTCCGTACCGTATTCTTCGAGGAGGTCTGTCAACGCGTCACGGAACTCGATCATACCCTGTGCTGGTATCGCGATCTGCGTTCTGGGTCCTCCTCGTGTTATCGTCTGCGACACCTGTGCAACAAATAATATTATTTTAACAAATATTTTATAATAGATTCTTTTTTTTTTTTTTTTTAAATTGAAGCATGTGCAGATAAAAGCGGCTTATTCGATTAAACCATATTTTTCTCCTCAAAAATGTCTCCCCAGCCGAGTTTCTTTCTCTAAATGTTTTTACCATCTGAAAAGGTTGACCCTTTCACTTCAAGACGGTATCCACAAAGGATAGACTCTCTCTCTCTCTCTCTTCCTTATCAGTTAGCGTAGAAAGTAAATGCATTGGCTGGTACATACAGGGTGACTCACCCGCAGGAAACGGCCGCGAGTATTTTCCTTGAGGTCCAAGTAATACCGCCTGTTATCCTTTGTCATCACTTCTGATTTTAGTTTCCCATCATCTGGCACATTCTCCGAGTTTGGTGGACCTATAAATTCAAAAGTATAAAAGGGGGAAAAATTATAAGTATTTTTCTGATATCTATTCGAAGTTTTTTTTTTTTTTTTAAAAACAATTATAAATCTTTTAAATATGTAGAAATAATGAATAAGAATGAAAAGGAAAAAAAAAAGAATTAAAAAAAAAAACTATTATTATAAAAATCCTCATTAAAAAGAATGTTTCGATCAGTACTATATTATATTAGTATGTTATACTTTTCTATAAACAAGAATTTATCTTTTCTTTATGTATAAATGTTAAAATAAAAATTATAATTCGAATCGAAATTTTTTTCAATTGAAACCAGTGAAAATTTCAATTGAATTGATGCAAAAATAAGAAGAGAGGTTTTCTTCAAGGCATTATATGGAATCTTATAGCAACAATTGAAGATTGCATTTTACCTAAAGATGCATAAAAATCACTAAACGTCGAAAGGTAATTCCGAAACTCGGATGCTGTGCTGAGTGCCAGGTAGATTTGGCTTCTCCTTCCATCGGCGCCGATCTAGAAAATAAAAATATTTTACTTTTCTTTTCTTTTTTTTTTACTTTTTATTTCTTTTTTAAATTAAAAAAAAAAAAAAAAAAAACAACTTTATTTCAAATTATATTTAAATCTCTTAGTGTCATTGAAGCTATATAATTAGATCTAGAAAAATTTGAATTAAGTTATTTTATTTTAATCCTTCCACATAGATATAATCTTAAATATTATTGTACATAAATTAAAATTTATTATTTGTGGAAAATTGAAAGTATTTATATATCTAATGTAATTAATCATTTTCTAAATCGTTCATTTATAATTCTTTGGCATTGTAGAATTTATATTTTATTGTATCAATTACAACGCTAACAGTTCAAAAATCTGAAATCTGAAAAAACGAGTCGACCAAGACTCCTACAAAAAATAAGTTTAGAAATACCTCGGCTACTTTAATAAACCTCCCACGTCTGTTCTGTTTTACATCAAGATAGAATCTTTTACTCTGGATCTGCAACATCTTCGTTGCTAACTCCTGTTCGCCTTGCTGACCTTGCTGGCCTGAAATCATTATACAAAGTTAATTAACATCATTTCTTATATTCATCAATAATTTACAATTACTATTTTATAAAACTGTCTCATTTCATCACGTTTATACCTATTAAAGGTAATATTAGAAGTAATATTTTGTAACTGCAAATTCCTTGATGAAAAGAATAAATGGAGATATTTTATATTGAACTTAAATGAAATAAAATTTTAAAAATTTTTTATCTTTAAATTAAAATTTTAATTAAAATTATTAAGAAATTTTGTTATAGATCAATATAGTATTTATCTATGCTATATAACATATCTATGCTATATAATATTTCAAATTAATTTTTCTGTAAACAAAGATTATTTTATTCTATTTTTTATCTTTTTATTTTTATTTTTATTTATTTTTTTTTTAATATATAAGATCATTCTTGTCTCGATTGTATCAGTTTGATTGTATCAGTTACAAGATATTCTATATTTATTCTAGTCCATCCGTTATAAAAAATGTTATAAAAAATACTATTTCTCATCAAAGAAAAATAAAAAAAGAAAGAATTCCTCTAAACAAAGAAAACAACAATAGGCAGATTCTCATTCGATTTATCTCTCTCCATCAATGTCTCCATAGGATTTCCCTCCTGATTCGACCGACTGAATTGTCTTGAATCGTCTAAAATCATCTCCTATTCAATGAGACTCTATTCAGATAATGTTGGATGATCAACATCCGTTGAATCTCATAGAAAATCAAGAAACAAATCCTGCAAAATACGTGTTTACATTTACTTAACTAAATTTTTTGTAGTTAGTCATTTATAATCAGATAATAGTTATAAAAAATATATAAATTCTATATTCTATATTTTATAAAGATATATAGACTAAAGATAAATCATATTGAATCCCGTCTTCTTAACCTTTAACCTTTTTTTTTTTTTAAATTTTATCCCTTTTGAGACAAATTTTTTTAATTTTATCGAGTATAATGGTTAAATTAAGTATTTTAAACTTTTTAAGAATATATATATATATATTTATTTATTAATATTAATTATATTTATTAATATATATATTTATATATATATATATATTTATTAATATTAATAATAAATATTAAAATAAATTCAAAATCTTTTATCTTTTCTATTATTTTATATAAAAAAAAGCTTTAAAAAAAGTCGATTTAAAAATAATATCCTAATTGATGAAAATGATTAAGATTTTTATTGATTTTTATATACCAATGTGTACATACTTAATTTCTATAAAATAATATCTCTCTCTTTTATTTTTATATTTATATATATAATAAATATTAATTCATCTGTACCAATTATATATTTTTTAATATTTCATTTTATACCAATTATATATTTTTTAATATTTAATTCTTGCTTCATTTTCGTTTAAAAGAATAGATGTTTTATAATATTTCAAGGAAAATTTTATCCATAAAATTAAAATAAATCAAAATAAAAATATTAATTTTGCTCAAATTTTTCGCATTAATTCACAAAGACAAAACTTTGTTTCAAAAGATTTTAATTCAATTTTCTTATATCGAATCGTAATAATATTTTACATTACTCTAGAATACTTATAATACTCTACATTCATACTATTCAACTATTTCAACAATGACTAACCGAGTGTTGAAAAATTTCTTGTTACTCGAAAGAAGATATCCCCAATCGTTCCAACGATTGCCATGGTTGCTTTATAGTTATCGCTGGATAAAAAAGAAGAAGTAGGAGAAGAAGAACAGAGGAGAGAAAAGGGTTGCACGCAGGTCAGAGGGACAAGGGTAAAGAGTGGAAGTCCGGAAAGAGGTCACCCAGTGTTTATTGGGTCAGCTCTTTACCGGATTCCCTCGAGCTACGGGGAGAATTTCTGGGTCGGAGGGGTACCAGAAATTTGACGATCACCATTCGAGGACAAGGGGAATCTAAACAACGATGCGTTGTTTCCTACTTAACCTCGCGTTGGATAAAGGCGGAATTTTGCAGGGACCAAGAAGGATCAGGATCCAGAGAGAAGCGAGAGAATTAGATGAAACGGTGGAGCTATGGTTGTTAGTCCTCGTCCTCATCGATCAATAACAGCTGCACCAAACAGGTCAACGACCTGTTTGGTACTCCTCTCAGGCCATCGAATACACCTCTACATAGTTTTTTCACCTTATCAGTCCCCTGTCTTAACCTTTCTTAAAAAAAAAAAAAAAAAAAAGAAAAGAAGAAAGTTTTTGGCCGTGGACGAGTATCGAGCCGGCCATAGTCGGGAGTGTAAATACAAGTCGTATTGGGTTTCAAAAGAGTAAGATAGAGATTTAAGAAGGGATTTATATAGCAATTAAAATTGTAACTTTTGGATTGACAGATAGATAGAAAATGTGGACTTCTAAATGGTGTAACTTTGGATTTAAAATTGGATTATAAAATTGATATAGATGAGAATGATGAGAATTTTATAGGGGATGGATTGTTCGAAGAAAATTATTATAATTTTATTTTAGTTTCAGTATAGAGTAATTTCGATAATAAGTTAGCACAGTTATTATTGAAAGAATACGTATGTTTTTGATAAAATGGAGTTTAAAAAAATTAATATTTATTTGGATGTTAAATTTTCTAGATAAAATAATTAATACAGTTGAAAGAAATGAATAGATAGAATGTAATTATACTATACTTGAATACTTTTTATAACTAGTATCAAATATATTACTGTTATTAATAATATTGATATATTTCAATCAGTTATTTAAATATATGAAATGTTTATACGTGATATATGATAATATATGAATAATATATGAAGATCATTTCGATATTATAATATTTTGATAACAAAGACAAAGAAAAAAGAAGAAATTATAATTTATGACTGCAAAGGAGATAAAAAAAGAAAAAAATACAATGCACAATTTGAAACGCATATTCATGCTCGTAAGTCAGAGAGAGCCCAAAGGATTGATTCCCTGCGCGAAACGTGCGTCGAACGATCGATCTAACTGTAAAGGGTTTCCCTCATTATTACGTACTGGACTGTTGCAAGTTGCCCGGAATTGGGACAGGGCTGAGATCGCCCTGGAAGATCCTGCTCTTGAACATTCTGCTTTGCCTATACACACGACGCTATCGATAATTCATACACATGAACCCCGTTCTTCTGTATTCCTATCCTCCTTCTCATCTCCCTCTGTCCGCCTTTAATATTTATACTCTCTCTCTCTCTATCTTTCTTCTCCACCCCTTTTTCCCCTTTCTTTCTCTTTCTTTCTACTTCTCCAATCAATTTCCCTCAATCAATTACTACTTTCAATAATTTCTTTCTATTCTCAAGATATAACGTGTTCCTTCGACTATGAGTGCTGCTTGATGTGCATCTTGCTGCCGGTAATATCGCGCCCTCGAGTCCATGCCTATATCACGAGCCTGGAAATTGGGACAGGGTCGAGAACACTTTACGAAGAAAAGACCTCTCTCTCTTCTCGACATCCCTCTTCTCCTTCTTCTCTCTGTGTTCGTCGATGTTCGTCTTTTTTTTCCTTTTTTTTTTTTTTACGCGCACTCTCCTCTTTTATCCCCTCTCCTTCTTGCAATTCTCTCTCTTTCGTCTTCTTCTCACCCTCCACACCCTTTCCCACCCATAACAGTCTCTTTAATCTCTGTCTACCGACGAAAACGACAGTTGGAAGGACGTTTTCCGTATGCTCGATGGATTTCGCATGATTGCATCATCGGCTATCCCGTTCCTCTTCTTCACACTCCCGGATTTCTTTCCCATCCCCTCTTTCACCCAGGCTCCTCCGATTTACAGTTCCTTGGAGAAAGCATTAATATGCAGAGCAGAGATCTATCGTTCTTCTTCTCTCGTTTCGTTACGTCGAATGGGAAATTCATCATATCACGAGATAATTTCACAGTTCTTCACCGTGTCGACCGTCGTCCTCATCACCCTCGAGTTGCGTCTCCGTGCAACCTGGCTCACCAGTACGCTCGTCCGTCATTTTCCATTGGTCTCACTACGCTTCTCGAACTCCATCTTTGATCTCTGTCACTCCGCTAGGTCACCATTTATTATCAGGAGACGAGGAACGTGATCGAACTAGATTCTCTCATGGAAAAGTGATGACTAGAAATTATTGATCGACATGATCAATTCTATCGAACAGTTTGAATACCAATTCAAGAGGCTTCGTTTCTTCGTTGACATGTCGTCACCTTGAAATTGCACAAATTTTCTATTTAGATTCTACGTTTCAAAAACGTCTTCTTCATTTCTATTTTTCAAAAAGTTCATTATTCTCTGTCCTTTAACCGTTGCAAACTTAGTTTCCGACTCACTCAACTCAAACAGAACATAACGCTAATTAGATAAATTGGGATTTACCAGTGTGTATTATTCTGGCGATTGAAATAACACCGAATCACCTCTTTCTTCAACAATAAAAATCATGGATTATCATTATCTTCTCTTTCGAGAATTCTTTTTACGTTTCCATTTTATCCAATAATTCTTCGATCTTGACGTGACATCTTCATTGAAATATCTTCACGCGTGAACTAAACCGACATCCCTCATTGACGACACACCTTTTGTGAAATCTTATGTAATCGACACATTCTCATCCATTTTCCGGTGCTGCACGCTCGATTGAAGAGAGGGGGGGAAAAAAAAAAGTACTTATGAAGGAGTCTTCTCACGATCCCATGGACGCATCTCGAAGTTGTTCCCGGATTTACGAGACGGACTCGACGTGGACGTCGACAACGGCGAGGCACGAAGGGGGCGGGTACATTGATCTCTGCGCCTGGAGCGCGACTCGTGGCGCTGCACCGACCTGCCTCAATACGAACTGCATATTTCCGTTCTCCCTTCTGCGCTCTCGCCTCTTCAACGCCCCCGCAACCGCTACCACTAGGATATCGTTTCCAACCGACGACGGTTGCTTTCGACGCATCAACCCTCATATTCTTTTCTTCTTCTTCTTTTCTTTATTTTTTGGATTAACT